GTTATACGTAAATTTGAAAATAACGGTAAACAATTATGAAAAACTTTTTTTATTTAACGAATTTAATGTATTTTATGAAAATTGTTTTGAAATACTATTTAATAAAAGAATTTATTCGTATTTTGTTTGATAGTTTTTAATAATAAATTATAGCGCCTTCCCTGATCGTGTAAGGAATTTGTTTTATTAAAACGCGTAATGAGGTTTCGTAGACGAAATTTTGAGTTACAAGCGATTTCTTTAAAAAATCGACAACGAACCTGCGATAAATTATAAAATCCTTTTATTAAAAACTTACAGGCAAATTTGCTTACTCTACAAATCAAAAAATAGTGCAAAATTTTAGCATTTCTGTGATCTCCAAGGTGAACGCAGAGCTTCACATCAAGTACAAAAACCTTGTTAATAATAAATGTTTGATATGTAATATTTAATCTGATGTATGTTTTTATCTAGTTTTATTAATAAATGCTTTTTATAATTTTTATAATGATAAATTTATTATTTATAATTCATTCTAGATCTAATTTTCAACTATCACACGATTACATAACCTATTTGGGAATAATCCGTTATCATTTACGATATGGTTAAATAACAAAGTTGCAAATTTATTTAAAAAAAAGTTATATTAACATATTAAAATATGAAAAATACCATACTGTATTATACTCGGTAAGAAAAAAATATGCCATATAAAATACCCTAGACTTTATGCTTTAAATGGACTTTCAAGTTTCTCCATTGAATGATAGTTTTATAAAACAAATCTAATTCTTGATTTTTATTTACGAATTCTATTTCATACCTTGTTAAAAGTGCTATTAAGAACATTTTAATTTCAATGACTGCCCAAATTCTTCCCTGTCAGAATAAATTAAGAACACATTTTTTTATTAGATTAATTTAGAAGTCTTATTAAGATATTTAAATAATTCTTGTTACTTACAGGACAAGATTTAGCACCCCCTCCAAACGGCACAAAAGCACAATTGTTATTAGCCATTTCAGCATTCTTCGATCTTATACTATCATTGTTTTTTAAAAATCTATCAGGGTCAAAGACTTCGGCGTCAATCCAGTCCTTTTCATTAAAATGAATTCCTTGATAATTTACAAGGAATGTTTGTTCCCCTTTCCATAGATATCCACCAATTTCCACAGGTTCGGAATTTGATCGAGGAACTAAGGGAAATATAGGGTGTAGGCGAAGCACTTCGTTTATAAAGGCATCAAAATATTGAAATTTTTCAATATCTTCGTAGGAAATCTTTGTAAGAGGTATTACCGTAGAACCGAATATTGAGTTTATTTCGGAGAGAAGTTTTAATTTTACCGAAGGATATTTACACAAATAATATATTGTGAAGCACATAGCCGATGAAGTCTAAAAAGAAATACAAATAAATCGATTATTTCTATATTTATATTTTCGATAATTGACATAATAATAAGTTACCGTTTCAAACCCTAAGAAAGTATCAAATATAATTCCACGAATTTCATCATCGTTTAATGATCGATCAAAAGTCTTAAATAAAGTCTTTGTGGGATTATGCTGTGTGTTGGCAGTAATAAGTAATGACAAAGCGTCGGATGGTATCGGACTATCTTTAGGTAATGAATCAATATATTTGCGTCTTTCTTGAATTATTTCAAGTATAATTTTATTTAAATTTGTAACATTATTTAATAATTTTTTGGTAAATAACTCTATGCCAGGAGCATGTCTTACGATAGGTGGAACTGCAATAAACCCTTAAATTTAAGAATAATATAATTAGTAACGGTAAGTTTATTAAAATTAACAGATAATTATGATATATTATAAAAATATACTAACATGGAGCTATAATAAAAATCGAAAGGACAGCTGAAATTAATCTCGAAGATCGATTCCATTTCGAAATTGGGATATGATCATGATTATATTCATGTCCAAGCGAA